TTTTTTAAAAAAAAATAGTAAATTATAGCATATTTTTTAAAATAGGTAGATTATAGTCAAGTCCACCATGGTCGGGACCGCATACCATTTTTCAACAACTTGTGATCATTTTCTAACGATCAGTGACCTTTTTCTGGTAACTGATTTTCAGCGACCGTTTAACACTGTATTTATTAGTAAATACCATATTTATTGGTAATACCGTATTTACTGGTAAATACCGTATTTATTGGTAAATACCGTATTTACTAGTAAATATCATATTTACTTGAAAGGTTGACCACCGACTCCGGCAACCGTTTGATGTTGTATTTATAGGTAAATATTGTATTTATCAATAAATGTCGTATTTACTAGTAAATATCATATTTACCCAAAAATCTGGCCACTGACTTCGATGACTATTTAACACTGTATTTACCAGTAAATATCGTATTTACCAGTAAATATCATATTTATCTGAAAATTCAGGCACCGATTTTGACGATCGTTTAAACAGTGTATTTACTAATAAATATTGTATTTACGAGTAAAAATCATATTTATCTAAAAATTCGACCACCAACTCCGACAACCGTTTAATATTATATTTAATGGTAAATACCGTATTTACTAATAAATATCATATTTATCCAAAGATCTCACCATCGACTATGGCGCCCATTAAACACTGTATTTACAGGTAAATATCATACCAGCTCCGGCGATCGACAACTATTTTCCGGCGGTCGACAACCATTTCTTGCAACTGTCACCGGCTGTCGTCTCCGGCGACTGGTAAATACTGTATTTATTATATTTATCTAAAAATCCGGCGACAGGCTCCATCGACTAATAAATACGGTATTTACATGTAAATACCGTATTTACTAGTAATTATCATATTTATCATTGTTATCTAAAAATCTGATGATCGGCTCCGGAGACTTGTAAATACCGTATTTGCCTATAAATATCATATTTACTGGTAAATATCGTATTTACCACATTTATCTGAAAATCTGACGGATGGCTTCGGCCACTGGTAAATATCGTATTTAACAATTAATATCATATTTATTATTAATACTATATTTGAAAATCGGGTGACCGACTCCGACAACCACTTAATATTGTATTTATCGATAAATAATGTATTTACTTATAAATACTATATTTATCTGAAAATCTGACCGTTGGTGCCGGCAACTAGTAAATACTATATTTATCTGTAAATATCATATTTACTAGTAAATACCGAATTCAATGAAGTATTTACTGGTAAATACAGTATTTATCATATCAGAAAAATTAGATTCAGTCTAATATATATTGGTAAATATAATATTTCCACATTCAAAAATACAAAAAAAAAAATAACACAGGAAAATACAAATAAATATACCAAAACTTTTAGATATCAGAAAATACAAAAATCACAAAAAAAAATCCACAAATCAAAATCATTACACATTCTCGATAATCCACAAATCTCCACGTTCCTCGCCTCACCGCCGATGATGCTTACATCAATCGGAATTCGCATATCGTCCGTTGACATGAGCGGCGATGACAAGATCCAGCTTCAAGACGATGAGATCGTGTTGGAATCAACGATTGCGATGTCTTTGGAATATCTTCGCTTGGATATGGGTTTGTTCAAGTGGATCTTCTTCGCAAAATATGAGATCGCAGCGGAGAATAGACGATCGCGATGTTGTCAGAATCTGATCGCGAATTGAAGAGAGAAAAAAGGAAGTGGGTTGGGAGGGAGAAAAAGATATCAGAGTTGTGACCAGAGATCGCGATTGGACATCGCGACTGAAATCCACCACGACATGACAATCCCGACGATTTGTTGTCGCCATTGCCCACTAGTTGCGCATTGATCTCCTCCGGCTCTGATGCTGATGTCGCAACCTTCACCATGGGATTTGGTTCGCATGCAGTGTTGGTTCACCGACAATGTCTTAACGACCGTCATTTCCTTCATATCTCGTCGAGGTTCAAGCGATGTCGTGCCTTGACCATCAGTCTAGATTCCATCGTCCTCGACACTGACAGTGACGAGATCTCGTGATCGCGTTGTCGCGATTCAAATACTATAGGTTTGTAATTCTGAAGTGGCATAGATAGAAAGGAAGAGAGGAACCAATGAAGGTGAGAGAGAGGGAGAGGAACCGATGGAGGAGAGAGGACAGAGGAGAGAGAGAAATGAAGAGAGAATGTCCTGAACAGACGCGTGATAGAGATAAAAGGAGAGATAAGCATAAGAGAAAAGAGAAAATGGAAAGATAAGAAAGGATAAAAGTGGAAAAGACAATAAATGTTTAAAAAGGGAATACAGTATATGCTATAATTTATCGAGTTATAAAATTATGTTATGTACTTTAAAAATGTGTAATAAAAATGCTATTTATTGCATTTTTCTTTTTATTTTTAGTAAAAACTTAGTTGCCACATCAACATGGCAAGCTCTATTGGGCTTTCATTAGTCTCACTAACACTTAAAAGAAATTAAAAATTCATCAATAATAAAAAAAGTTAAGACGAATTAAATAAGAAAGGAAGAAAGAAAACGTAATTATAAAAAATAAAGGAAGAAAGAAAAAGGCATCAATCCACCACCAAGTGCACGACCGGAGCCACATAGAAAAGCTGAGGCTTAAGAGTATGTTCTGTAAGTGGAAGAGGGATGGAGGGAGATGTCTAATCTTCTGTTTGGTTAGAAAAAATGAGGAGATAAAAGGAGAGGTGGAGGGGTGTGTGCTCTTTTATAGCCCACTAATTTGAACCCTTGTATCATCCAAATAATTCATCCACTTGTAATTTTAAAAGATTATTTTACTCTCTGATTAAATTATTAACAAAAAATTTAAATGGGTAATATATTAATTTAATAAAAAATTATCACTTATTCTTTCAACTCTTCCTCCATCTTATTAAACAATATAAAAAATTGTTACAATCTTCTCCATCCTTTTTTTTTTATTATTCTTTTTACTCTTTATTCATCCAACCAAACAGAGTCTTAAAGAGAAGGACCAATGTAGGTGATAGGCGGGGTCCATGTTTTACTTATCCTAATTCAACTCCACCCACCACCCATGGGGCTAAGATTAATTAAGTAAGAGCAGCCCCAATCCCATTGAAGCATAAGACAACCAAATCTCTCTCTTTGAGCCACCGAATATGCCAAGTTCACGGTGGAGACTCTCTTTTGCTCCTCCACCATCCCTTTTCTTTTCAGTTTTCACTTTACATGCTTATATATATTTATATACTATTTCTCATGTCAACATTTTCTATTAATATGCAGACATTTTCCACCAATAATACCACTTTCAATACAATAGATACATCATACAAATTGTGACATTAATATGTCGGGTTTTATATTTTTAATCAATTAATTAATTGCACATGACTAGATTTTGGACCATCCAAAGATTTGGACTTGGTAGAAACCTAGAATATACCGAGCTTTTTCATTAGCAATAAATATTTGAGAATCTTTATGGTAGAGTGTATTATTTTATTTTATTAATAAAGATAGTATTTTTTTTATTATGTTAAAATAATTTTTTAATAATTGAATTTACAATAAAAATAATTTGAGTGAGTTGTAAATTTTTAATACGAATTTATATATATAACTATTAAAAAATTAATTTAATGATAAAAAATAACAGACCCCACCAGCAGTAAAAATTCTCTTAATATATGAAAAAAAAAAACCAAAAAAAAGTAAAATAATAATGATAAAAAAAGAGTATGGTCCACCATAGAGTCATGGCGATAGAATTAGTACTCCTTTTAGCACACAAGATAGATCTCATCCATGGAAACCCAGTATCATGGGACATCATGATAAGGCAAGTCCTTGGTTTTATCGACGACATCCGATAAGATTTCAACGGCCCTGATTGAGAGTGATTTGTCGGTAGCGTTTAAATTCATGTGATGCTCCCGCGTCGCATTTAAGCATTTCTCCAGGTCCTTAGTCCACGTTGCTAGTAGCATAAACAAACAAAACCCTAAAAAAAATTTGGCTTCTTCTATATATCAAGTCCAAAGTTTCTCCCATTCTCTCTTTCTCTAGTAGCTTTGGCCACCAAAAGAGCCCCTCTTTTTTTGCATGCCTTGTTGGATTCTCCCGTGAGCCAAACAAAGAAGAAGGATCGCCCGATCGACGAAGTCGCCGGAGATCATGTCTCGCACGTGCTCGCAGTGCGGGAATAACGGCCACAACTCCCGCACGTGCACGGAGGCTTGCGGAGACGGAAATGGCGCCGCCGCCGCCGGAGGAGGAGGAGGAGGAGAGAACGCGATTATGCTCTTCGGCGTGCGAGTCACGGAGGGAAGCTCCTTCAGGAAGAGCGCCAGTATGATCAATCTATCGCAGTACGACCGGGCTCAGGACTCCAACGCCGACACCGGCTACGCTTCCGACGACGTCGTTCACGCCTCCGGCCGTAGTCGCGAGCGCAAGAGAGGTATTCGTGTTTCTCTTCTTCCGAATCTGATCTCGCTCTTTTTGATTTTTTTTTAGTTCTTTCTGATTGATTTTTGTTTTTTTTGTTTTTGGTTAATTAGGTGTTCCATGGACGGAGGAAGAGCACAGGCTTTTCTTGTTGGGATTGCAGAAGGTAGGGAAGGGAGATTGGAGAGGAATTTCTAGAAACTTTGTGAAGACTCGCACGCCGACTCAGGTGGCTAGCCACGCTCAGAAATACTTTCTCCGTCGCAACAACCACAATCGCAGACGCCGCAGATCCAGTCTCTTTGACATCACCACCGATACCGTATGTAGCACTAATTTATATTCTCTGATTTTACTTCATGAAATCAATTTTTTTGATGACTTTTAATTAGCCTTTCGATTTACAGTTCATGACTTCATCATCCATGGATGAAGATCTCCAAGTCCACACAGAGGCAGCTCCATCAGTACCAATACTTCCACATCCACCGCAGCCACAGCCTCAGCCTCATTTAACTTGCAATCTCGGGATGTTTCCGGTCTCAACTTTTCCGATGACACTCGCTCCGGTTGTCCTACCAATCGCTACCACGGCCGAGAACTCGTCAGAGAGTCCGGCATTAGATTCCTGCGTCCAATTAGCAGCTAAGCCTCCGCCGCCGACCAAGCTCATCCGTCCGATCCCGCTTCATCCGATCCCTCCGTCGTCCAAAATGGCTAATCTTAATCTGAACAGCAAGTCACCGACCGTGGCGGACCCATTGCCTCTATCGCTGAAGCTCTCTACTCCGTCGGACGAGAAGTCATCGCCGCCGCCGCCGCCGCCGCATCAGTCTACTTTTCAGGCCATGTCCAATGGTGATAGCATCATTAGCGTTGCTTGAAAGGAATAATATTATATATTAATACACCTTGCTATATATCAGAAGGAAATCGTATTAGAGACAAGATTAAGGAAAAAAACTGGATTTGATTAGACAGAATGATTAGATTGTTAATTAGGTAGGTTATTCGTTTTTTTTTTTTTTTTTCTTTTTTTTCCCCTTTGTATTGTATGTATAGAAAAAGATTTAGAAAAAAGATTTGATGTCGTTTTCTGTGTGGGGATTCTTGTTTAATTTGTCTGGTTCCTTCTCGTGGGGTGGAATTATAAACGCACTCGGTGCGTTCTATGTTATTTGGTCTGTGGGATTCAATAAGGGACTTCAACTAGGAAATATATGTGTTAGACAGATGAATATAATATGTCATTGTAAATTAGTTAAATCCTTTTCTAATTTGTTGCTATTACATTTCTAGCTTAATTTTATGCGTAAATAATGGGATTCACATAATTATTTGGTATTGCTTGTATAGACATATACCACACCAAATTTGTATAGTTTGTATAGTCACCTATAACAAATTAGTAGTCTAATGGGTCTGATAAAAAAAAAAAAACAGCATTATTATGCCTCTATAACTACTCAAGTATTACTTTTTTTATAAACAATTTCAGTGTTATATCGAATAAATATCGTGTCATTTTTTATTTCTACGCGAGAGTAAGGTGTGAGTAAATATGTAAACCCATCTTTTGGTGAAGATATATAGGACCCGTTTACTTTGTTGATTTGAGTTGAGATGTAATTTTATATGAGAATTTTTTACTGTAATAAAAACAATAAGATGTGACTGTTTCTGGGAGTTTTTAACTATAATAAAACTCAAATTTTAAACTCGAATCGGTAAAATAAACGGGGCAATAATCTCTATTACTCATTTCACATCAGTTGATAAAACTCTTCTGCTTTGTACTAGAGATGTATGGACACAAATGGTTTTTGAATATATTTTGAATCAATGGCTCATAGACCATAGGTCTTTAAGGGATTAATGAACAGATATTGTATGCTATATGTACATAGTTGTGGCTGAAGCTGGTTATCATGAAGTTGGTTTCCGTGGGGGTTGGCAGTTGGCTTAAAACTATTCCTTGAAAAAGTAAGAAAAGGAAAGCCACACGTACGTTGACCCCATACGACAACAACATCTTAACTTTACGGCCACAGCAAAGAAGAAGAGCTGGCTCCTCCTCTACCGTTCAAATAACAGAAATCGGTATCTCGTATTACTAGAGTAAAAGTGGATTTACTTGCTTTTTTATGTAGATGCCAAAAATTGAAAGGGAAATTTATATATAACAATGATTTGTTTAGTTCGTTGATTTAAATTTTTAATTCGAGTTGAGATATGATTTTATGTGAGAATTTTTTATTATAGTAAAAGAGTTAAATGTGATTATTTCTGAGAGTTTTTTACTGTAATAAAACTCGAATCAATGAAATAAATAGGACTCAAGATATTGTGGACATTTTTCAAACTTATATATGGTATCATCATTTCAATTAAGTATCAAATTCATACTCTAAATCGGTTAATATTCAATTTTAACTATTGAACACAAAAATATTCTTGAAAGAAAAAAAAAAGAAGAGAAAGAAGTTGAAAAAATTCATAGAAAAAATTAAACAAAAAAAATCTCGTCAAATTTTTTTTTCCTATAACAAGAGTTTTTGTATCTGTTTTTAAAAGTTGGTTTTTTTTTTTTCTTTTTTTTAATCTTTTTAAGGGCATTTTGGTTATTAAATTAACCAAAATTGAGAAATTGAACATTTCATGACCTGAACTTGTTCTACACATTTAAATGCCGTGTAAACATTCGATAATTGAGTACAAAATAAATGATAAATTTAAAATATATGATACATTTATTAAATTTTTTTTTTCCAAAATGCGACATAAATAGGGAAAAAAAATGCGACATGAATAGCAACGCCAATCCTATTGGGAGGCTGTTATACGTGGGCCTTAGAAAATTCGACATTGGATTCAGGCCAAAATCTACAAAAATAGGATCTCTCTCTCTCTCGCTCTGTTTATTTATTTTTATTTGCCCAATTTGAGTTTTTGGAAAATGGCCTTAAATAGAAAGCTTTATTTTTATAATAGATTTAGAGAAATAATTTGTGTAATGACTTCGGAACCATTCAGTATGATACTTTAAAAAAAAAAAGAACCATTCAGTAGGATCACTTTAAAAAAGGAAAATTATCATTTTGTTAGTTTCACTTTCAAAGGCAGTCATTTTGACAAACTTTCTAGCCAATTCTTGCAAGGCGCAAGGTTGTGGACAATCACTGTACATCGAACAAGAAAGGGAAAACAAATACAGACAATTGAAGTGACAAGCATATGAACTAATTCGCTGATTCAAATTTTTAATTTAAGTTGAGATGTGATTTTATTTGAGAGCATTTTACTGTAGTAAAAAAATTACATATGACTGTTTTTCAGAGCTTTTTACTGTAACAAAACTCAAATTCTCAACTCGAATTAGTAAAATAAATGAGGTTTAAGTAAATGTTGTATTGCTCATATTCAATAAGGTTGGAGTTGATCTTATATTTCTCATTTACATACATAGCCGGGTCTAAACGAACACAGAGTTCTTTATGTCACTGTAGTTAATTTTGTGGTGGTTTTGGTGAGTAGCGAAACCCAAGGCTGGACAGAGAGAGAGCTCAGAAAAATACCACTCTCCTGATCTCTCTCCAACGAAGGCAAATCTGGCATTATCAGCCTTTTTAATACAAACGAACAGACAAAACGACACTAAGCTAGCTAAATAAACGAGAAAGCAGGAAACCAAAACGACAGTAGCCTTAAAGACCGTTTAGTTCGCTGATTTAAATTTTTAATTCGAGTTGAGATATGATTTTATGTGAGAACTTTTTACTATAATAAAAAAGTTAGATGTGACTGTTTTGGATAGTTTTTTATTGTAACAAAATTTGAATTCTAAACTCAAATTAGTGAAATGAACGGGACCTTAAGCTCCTGCATCAGTTTGTATAACTTTCACATTACAGCTTAAATCAGACCAGATATTCGATGAACAAGTGATAGAAACACCTAAGGATTATAGATTCACTGGCTTGAAAAATTCATGATATTCACTACTATAATGTTGCACTTTACATGCGCCCTACAATATATATAAATAATCGTCAGTGCCGTAAAAAAGATAAAAAGTAAGATGAAAGCTAGCTTTTAATTTGTTTAGACACTATAATTACAGTAAATGGCACACAGGTGAAATTTCAAAGCCTCCCTCGCTTAGTCATTAGAACACCAAGTTATTTGGTTGGAAAGTTCTGACTTCTCTAATAGCTGAAAGAAGAGAATATCAAGCTAATGGCACCCCAATAGTCCATGCACAAAGATCAACTTTCCTTCTTATTTAGCTTTCATTTTGATTCCGAGAAAGCCAAAATAAAAGATAAATAATGTTTGAGTAAAATCTCTGAAGCACCCCACCATTTATTCTAGTAATGCCTAATGCTTCTTCAATAATTCCTTTCAACCAAACACACATATTACCTATAAATAGAGCAAGCAAAGTAATTTGGCAAGAAGAAGCTACACAAACTAAGCTAGAACTTAGAAAGTTTGACTTCTCTAACTATATTAGGAGCAGAAATAGGGAATTTGTACGAAAAGCGTTTGGTGGCAGAATTTAAGTCACTCTTCTTGATCTTCTCATGTGTCCTCCTAATAAAATCAGCAGCTCTGTCATCAATATCCTGCTCTTTTTCACGAGTCACATACAAGGGACTAACCTTTTTTGGTAATTCCATCAAGCAAGAGCGTGGCTTGGAGCCACTCTCAGGTTCTTTTGACCTTTGGCTTCTAGAACATTCTGGAACCAACGAATCCATAGTTTCAGCAACTTTAGCGGTACTCGAAGAGGCTCGCTTCTTCTCAACTGCTTTCGGGGTACTTCTGACCGATGTCTTTTTATTGAAGCTTACAGTGACAAAGGATAGAGATGAGAGTTTAATGATGTTTGCCACTAAAAGCATGGATTTCTCGCAAAGGGATTTCTTCTTCTGTTTTGCTGATAACTTATGTGGCATGGTTAGGCAATAATTTCAATTTTTTGATACAGCTGAGAATAGCAGGTAATGTATGGGAAGAATATATTGGGGAAATGATCAAATGGCATTTGATGAATTGATCTTGTTTGAAGTGAAGTTAAGCAGAAAATTTGTCAAAATGTTCTGTGGGGTACCGATATTTGATTGGTCAAGGACTTGAAATGCTACCTAAAATTAAATTAAAAATAGTGACCCTTGTTCTAACTTTCGACAGCTCTTTTGTCCTGTAATTTTCAAGAATATGCCATTAGAATGTGCCAGTGATTATTGGGAAGAAAAAAGAAGACAAATTTAATGCAAACTTAAATTCATCATTTACAGTGCCATACTCCACAAAACATTGACATTTGTGATTCGATGTCACCCAATTAATGCATTGCTAGCTAGCTAGCTAGCTCTATTTTGTTGTTTTGCTATAGAAACTCTCATCTTATTTCATATGTGCCTTACTTATAATTATTTGCATGCATATATAAGCTTCCTTTTCATTGTGCAAACAAAAGTATCTTGCTTTTCCTTTATTTCGTTTTCATCATTTTTGTTGGGGAAAAACACACCCAACAAAAATTTGACACTTACCCAATAATAAAGAAGATAAAGATTTAGATAGTTCAAAAAAAATTTCTACGTCTACGGAAGAGAGAGAAAAACTTCACTAACAGTTTTAAAATTATACACTCAACAAACTTTTACCTTACACAAAGCACTTATTTATAGACTCATAATAACTATTTCTAAAAATAGAAAACAGTAACATACCAAAAAACACGAAATAATAACTTTCCCAAAATCACTTTAAGGCACTTACCAACAATCTCCACATTTACTCAAATTTTCTCAACTCACTCATTTGGGTATCCAATTTCAAAACCCGTCATCACACCGACAATGCAAGTTTCAACAAAAATAAACATGTATCAAGTTCAAACTCTCATCAAACTTGACACGAGAAACTATCTTCTTCTTCTTCAAAGTATCTTCACAGCTACAAGTTTTCACCATCTTGTCTTTCATCTTCAACTGTTATCATCTTGATGTACTCTTCTACTTCTGCAACTTCTTTCACAACAGAAGAAGATTCTTTGTGGCTTGGCTCCACCTTCATAATTCCACCTACAACTGTAGTCCCAATCAGTTTATACAAGTTTTTCACTTTTTCACCATTCATGGCTACTAAATCACCTATCTTGACTTGCATAAAATCACAATTCGCATATTACTCACAACCCAAAGTGTCCAAAGCTTCCAAAGAAATCAAACTTCTCCTTAGTTGAGGAACATGCCTAACATTTGTCAATGTCCTCATAACTCCATCAAATACCTCCACCTTAACAATACCTATTCTAACAACTTTAACACTAGAATAATTAGCTATCAACAAAGTACCAACATCACAGGACTTATAAGAATCAAACCATTCCTTATATAGACACATATGAAACGAGCATCCATAATCCAATATCCAAGAGTCAGAAATATTTTCATCAACAATAACATAATAAACATCATTTTCACTATCATACCCGTTGCCAACAATATTTGCAGAATCTAAAGTCTCTTGAGTTTCTTGCTTTCTCTTTTCTTCGAGGTACTTTGTCATTTCTTCACAGTTTCTTTTAATATGCCCCTTCTTATGACAATAATAGCACTCAATATCCTTCTTTAGTCGGGATTGAGAACGATCATCTCTCTTATCATACCATCTTTCTCGTGACTTACTCGTACCCTTATTTGATTCTGACTTAGCCACTAAAACTTGTTCAGTATGAGACATACTACTTGGCTTCTTCATATTTGTAGTCTCTAACAGAGCAGTCGATACATCATCTACAGTCAATGTCGCCTTTCTAACTAATAGTGTAGTCATCAAAGTCTCATATGATTTGGGTAGGGAGGCCATCAAAATTACCGCTTTAATTTCCTTATCAATTTTGACTTCTACACTTAACAGTTGAGTTATGCACTTATTAAAATTATTTATATAATCCCTAATAGTACTTTCCTCATCCATCATCAACTCATACAATTGTTTCTTAAAATATAATCTATTAGTTGGAGATTTCGACATATAAATTTTTTCTAATTTTTTTCATAACTCAGAAGGAGATATCTCATTCATAACATTATATTTTAGTTCATGAGTCAAACTTACCCAACGCCCAAGTAGCAAAAAAATAAATTGAAACAAAAATAACAAAAAAATAGAGAAGACAAAGATTTAGGTAATTCAGAAAAATTTTCTACGTCCACGGAAGAGGGAGAAAAACATTACTAATAGTTTCAAAATTACATACTCAACAAACTTTCTCTATTTCTCTCTCTACCCAAACTCCTTACACATTTTGCCTATCTTTTTCCTTACTTTTCTATCTTTCTCTCAAAATGAGGCACTCTTTCTCTACATTTTTCTCTTAGTATACAAAATCTTACACAAAATACTTATTTATAAACTCTTAATACTCATTGTCTAAAAAAAACAATAACTTACTAAAAAATAATAATTTTTTTAAAATTAATTTGAATCACTTACTCAACAATTTTAAAGTCTTATTCCAGCTGGCTAGAGCTTGTATTCTCTAGTTAAGAGTTAGTATAATTGTTGTGGGTTCTCGACAAGTGTCGAATTATTATTATTTTTTTTCTCCAATGGCCATGCAGCTTAGTAGTAATGGAGTTAAATATATATATATATATATATGTATACATATATATATATATATATATATTAGACTTCAACATCAACTTTATGAGTAAAACTGACGATGCATATGCTTCCCATTTTTCAGTCGTTGAATGAGGTTCAAAAACGATCTCATCCCATTGACATTTACGTTAGTTAGCAACTTGACAGAAAAATAATAATTTTTTTTTCAATGGCTCGGATTGTTACTTAAAAAAAAAGAGAAATAAATGTACCCTAATTATTTCTCACAGCTTTTCATGCCTAATTCATTTTGTATATACCTTTAGCAGCCAAAAGATGGCCAAGAGAACAGATTCTACCTCAGTTGAGTTTCGTGACTTGTCTTGATCTGTTGCAAAGCGATTGCTTATTGAAACTTTAGACTTCATTTTTTGTTCCACTATTTGATCCAGATTCTTCCATCACTATTTTCTTTTTTTTCTCTTTTATTTTTTATTCTGGCTTTGGGATTTTGTTTTCTCAAAGGTTCCTATCTTCTCCCCATTTCTGGCTAATCAGAATCTTTTAAGTGTTGGTCCTTATTTCTTCTCAAACGTGCTTCATTTAAAAGAATCTATGTTTCTTTGATGTGACGGTCACTATTATGTGTGTATCATTATGCTTATGATCTTATCTCCTTTATATTTTCTATGTATATTCTCCTTTTTTTTTTCTTGCTAGGGAATATGGAAACTTTTGCCTTCTCTTTTGCAAATTCAGATCAAAAGATTAGTGTGCGTTGGATTGGTGGATTCGTACCATGATTCGAATCATGGTTCGTGACTCGTTACAATGTTTGCCTTCTCTTTTGCAAATTCAGATCAAAAGATTAGTGTGCGTTGGATCGGTGGATTCGTGCCATGATTCGAATCATGGTTCGTGACTCGTTACAATATTTTTTTTTCTCAAAAAATACATATAAATTGAGAATGATTCTGAGGCTATAAACTAAACGTCCACTAATAGTTTTCTCGATTCTGTTTGGTTAGTTTTCATTATATCATGTAGGTATTTTATCGATATTTTGTATATCGTATTCTATGCCATTTAGGCCACCAACAGTGGCTCAAGGCTCAATATCTTTTTCCTTGAGAAGATTAATGGTGTATTCAATATTGCCGTTATATTTTTATTTCAAGGGGTGAAAGTGGCGAGAACCTTTATTCTTCTGCGGAAAAGAAGGCAAAGAAAAGAAAATATCATTTGTGATTATGAACACCTATTTCTTTTTTTTTTTTTTTTTTTAAAATTACAGACTTTACTCTTAAGAGTATATAAGTCTAAATGTTTACTCATTTTTCTTGATTAATAACCTTTTATTATTATATTTATTTGACTAAAAAAATTATTAATTAAGATTAAAAAAATCTTAACTCATACACTTTTTAATGAATATTTGTTTTTTTCCTCATTTTTTGTGTCACTTTCAAACTATTTCTCTCATTTCCTCATTTCTTGTGTCTATGGGCTAAGTTATCAAGTATGTCTTGGGCCAGCAGATAGGATGACCCACTTTAGAGAAGCCCGTATTAACCTGGAATTTTCCCCCCTTCATGAAATTAAGAAAACCAGGAGAAGAAATAAAAAAAAGAATTTGAGATATTTTTTATAGCACAAGGGAAAAAGTATTTCATGTTTTCTAAAAAAAAAAAGGTATTTAATGAATTATACTGAATTTGAATTTTTATTATATTATTATCATGTTAGAAATTATTAGAATGGCCAATGATGGAAAAAAAAAATTTATAGTAATTAATAGGGTTGTTACCATGTTAATCGATAAATTATACCTTTATTTTATTAAATAAAATTTGATGGTATATTTTTAAAATGAATAATTTTGAATAATTTGAAAATACAAAGTAGAAACAAGATAAAAAAATCCCGTAATAAAAAAGGTACAGAGATGAAATAAAAAGAGAGAGAGAAACATTTTGAAGGAAGAAAAAGAAAGAAAACAAATTCTCAATAAAAGACAATTGGAATTTCATCTAATTCACTAAACTATTAGTTTAAACAGGGAAATCGGTACTTGGGATTGAGAAATCGGACCCCACCAAAAACAATTGTTTTCCTTTCTCAAAACCGCATCAACCATTAATTATTCGCCACTTACCGCATACTTCCAACTAAATTTGCTCACCTTTTATGAAAAAACAAGACAAAAGAAAAAAGAACTTTTACAGTAGGAGATGTATTTTGATTCGACTAGTAAAAAACTAGGGAGTTAGAGCCTGTTTGGTTGGAAGATTCGTTCTTTGATTCGAATCATAGTTCATAGTTCGTTATAGTATTTTTTTTTACAAAAAACACACGTAAATTAAAAATAATTCTAATCTCATGATTTTAATCTATGAATCAAACAGACGCTTAATATTTTTAATTATTAGATTAGATCTTTAACCATTATATTTGTTCATGTCTTATTAAAATTTACAGCACGGATTATATAACTGCTCTTATTCTATATCATATTGTTAAAAAATTTATTCAAAAATTAAAACGTGGTTCTTATTGGTGGAGTAAAAATGTTATTTTTACTCACGCATGCAAATACAATCACCAATATACCATTTACGTTGCTTCACATTTCAGCTAAGTCAGCAATACGACGTCGCTTAAAAAAGAAAGCTCAATCAATAATCATAAGAGTCCAAAAACAAAAATAATTATAATTCAGCGGGCAGTCAAAGGCTGCACCTGCTTCTCTGTCTATTTCCTCTCTCTAAAGTTTTCTCACTCCACTGTCAATGGCCGCTTATCCACCCTACTCTGCGGCTCCCGTTTTGCTTCAACTAAATCCAAATCCCTAACTTCGAAAACTGAAGACGAAGACGCAATGAAAATGAAGACTTTCTTCCTCATCCTCGTCTCCATAGCTTCAATCTCCTTCTGCTCCGCGATGGAAGATGACATGATGTGCTTGGAAGGCGTGAGAAAATCTCTCTCCGATCCACTCGGCAAGCTTCGTTCATGGACGTTCACCAACGACTCCGTCGCCTCAATCTGCAAGCTCGCCGGAGTCTCCTGCTGGAACGAGAAGGAGAATCGCCTCATCAGCATTCAGCTCCAGTATATGGACCTCTCCGGCGGGCTTCCCGAGTCCCTCAAGTTCTGTCGCAGCCTCCAAACCCTAGACTTCTCCAACAACCATCTCTCCGGCCCCATCCCTCCCCAAATCTGCACCTGGCTGCCCTACCTCGTCACCTTGGATCTCTCCAACAACCGCCTCTCCGGTTCGATTGCGCCGGAGATTGTCAACTGCAAGTTCCTCAACACGCTCATTCTCGACGGCAACCGTCTCTCCGGTGCGATCCCCTACGAGCTCGGCCGTCTCGAGAGGCTCAAGACGTTCTCTGTCGCTAACAACGATCTCACCGGAACCGTACCGTCCGATTTGTCTGGCTTCGAAAAGGACAGTTTTGATGGCAACAGTGGGCTCTGCGGTAAGCCTCTCGGGAAATGTGGCGGATTGAGCGGTAAAAGCCTCGGCATTATAATTGCCGCCGGGGCTATCGGCGCCGCCGTGTCGCTGATTATAGGGTTTGGTCTGTGGTGGTGGTTTTTCGTTAGGGCAAGCAGGAAAAGGAGAGGCTTTGGTGGTGCTAGTGGTGGTGGTGATGGTAAGGACATTGATGCTGGTTGGGTTGGTTTGTTGAGAGCTCACAAGCTTGTCCAGGTTTCTTTGTTTCAGAAACCCATTGTGAAGGTCAGATTGTCCGACTTATTAGTGGCCACCAACAATTTTGATCGCCAAAACATTGTGATCTCAACTAGAACAGGGGTTTCCTACAAGGCCGTTTTGCCTGATGGGTCTGCTTTAGCTATTAAACGGCTTAATGCTTGTAAGCTTGGTGAGAAACAATTTAGGTCGGAAATGAACAGGTTGGGGCAGCTTAGGCATCCTAATTTGGTGCCTTTGTTGGGGTTCTGTATTGTGGAAGAAGAGAAGCTTTTGGTTTATAAGCACATGTATAATGGGACTTTGTACTCGCAGCTTAATGGAAGTGGTAATGCTAATAGTCAGTATGGTTTCTTGGATTGGCCCACAAGGCTTAAGATCGGTGTGGGCGCAGCCAGGGGTCTGGCTTGGCTTCACCATTCATGTCAGCCGCCGTATATGCACCAGAACATTAGTTCCAATGTGATCCTGCTCGATTATGATTTCGAAGCTCGGATCACAGACTTTGGTCTGGCGAGGCTCGTGGGTTCTCGCGATTCTAACGATAGCTCGTTTGTGAATGGAAATTTGGGTGAATTTGGTTATGTTGCTCCCGAGTACTCGAGCACAATGGTGGCATCTCTTAAAGGAGATGTGTATGGTTTTGGGGTGGTGCTTTTGGAGTTGGTTACTGGGCAGAAGCCTTTAGAAGTCAACAATCCAGGAGAAGGTTTTAAAGGGAATTTGGTTGATTGGGTTAACCAATTATCAAGTGCTGGTAGAAGCGTAGATGCCATAGATAATGCTCTATCAGGGAAAGGTCATGACGATGAGATATTGCATTTTATGAAGGTTGCTTGCAGTTGTGTGGTTTCTAGGCCGAAGGATAGGCCTTCAATGTACCAGGTTTATGAGTCCTTGAAAACCGTGGCTGAGAAACATGGTTTCTCCGAGCATTATGATGAATTCCCTTTGATCTTTGGCAAACAAGATCTTGATTAAAAGGGGAAGATGGCTGAAAAAGAATTAGAAATGCAAAGAAATGTCATCACCCTCTTCGAGTATTGTATGCTTTTTTTTGCAAAGGTTTCCACTTTGGAGCATATGATTCCCTGTTTTGTTACTCATTTTGTTGTATGATTCTTTAATATACAAGATGCATGATCCGTTATATATTCTTATGTGGTCCAAAGAATTTTATGCTTTTCCACTTGGAAAAAGCTGCTTTTTAATGTCTTTGTTGTTCCTGGCCATTCTGTTCTTTTAAGAAATCTTTTCAAATATACACCAAAAGAGAGCCCTTTCATCAGATTCTGCTTCATTTTGTATAAAACCCCTCCCTGTTCAATGTTTAATATTTGAAGCGTCCAATTTAAATTTAATAATGAGTTATGCAAGGAATACAGGTTTGGTTTGTGCTTCAAATTGAAAATAGAATAGGTGGTGGTTCTGGTAATCATACTTGTCTTCTTCTGCCTTGTATTTATAGACTGGTCATGGGCATGGTCACACGCAAACCCAAAAATCGTGGCAGCTCAAAGACTTTCAAAGTTCGGTCCCGCAGGCAATTCGATGGATTGGGTTAACTTATATTAGTTAACCTAAATAATAAGCGCTTTAGCTTTAGCCAAAAAAATACTAGTAGCTTTATGGGTACAAATAGTCAAAATCACGTTAAAATAAAAAATACGTAAAATTAATAGAATTTAATACAAAATGGTGCTTAAAAATACAAAAAAAAAAAACAAAAAAACAAAAAAAAAAGGCTATTCGGTAAGGTTTTTCATGTTCTATTATAGAATTTTCCTAATTGATAATAATAGTATAATTAAACGTAGCTTTTCTATTTTAAATCCATTGCTAATTGATAATTTAAAAGGGAAAAAGATCTCTAAAACTTAAAAGTGATAATATTAATCAATAATAGTAACGACAACAACATTTTATTCTTCTTTCCTTCAAAAAGCATCAACATGCAAAAGCTTCATTCCCGTTAAACCAGGTTGAGTTGTTGACCATTTATTTTTTGGCATTCCTCAAAAGAAAATAAAAAAAAGGGAAAATAATTTCCTCGTGGCATTTTTCTTTTTTTTTTTTCATTTTCTTTTGGCATTCTTCAACTCTAATAGGACAAATAAGAGTTCGTTTAGCAGGGGCACTTAGGAGTTGTCACACTTTGTTTACGATCACTGCACACAAGCAAATAACACACATAAACTAAGGGCCGATCGATAATAAGACATTAGACAAAACACCACAATGTCTTCATAATGAAGAGAAATAATGCTGAGTAAGACGAAACACCATATGTGCATCTGCCCTTTTATGATTGAGAATCCCTATTTATTTCGAACTCATATAAAATAAGTCTCGTTAAGTGGATAGATGAGACTCAACCTAGTAAAACTCACGATTTTTTGAATAATAGAGTTTTATCTCGATAGGGACAAATATCAATTAAAAATCATTCAAGTTAGCAAGTAGGGGTGGCAATTCGGGTTGGCGGGTCGTGTTTGTGTCGTGTTGACCCCTTTAGTTGACACGAATAGGTCTGACATGAACACAATCCGTTTATTAATCGTGTCGAAATACAAAACCCAAACACGACCCGTTTATTAGCGGGTTGACACAACACGACACGAATAACCCGTTTATTAAACAGGTCATAAACGTGTCGTGTCAACCCATTGATTACCTGTCAACCCGTTTATAAAATGAGTGATAAATGGGTCGTATTAACCTATTTATGAACATGTTTATAAAATAGGTGATAAATGGGTCGTGTTAACCTATTTCTGAACCTATTTTTTAACTTATTTATAAAATGGGTAATAAACGGGTTGTGTATTCGTGTTACCCAAATAATAACCCGTTTGGCAAATATGACACGTTTAATAAACGGGTTACGGCGGGTCAACCTGAAAATGACACGTTATTTAATCGTGTTTCATGGGTTTGACCTGATTTTGACCTGTACCTATTTATGATAAACCCAAACCTGCTAATTTTGTACGGGTTTCGAATCGTATCGTCGTGTCGCTACCCGGATTGTCAGTCCTATTAGCAAGTATATTTGCCTTGGTTAGTTGGTTATTCCAAAGGCACATAGAAGCTATGAATTTGTCACAAGTAACTGGACTGACTTTAAAATTGTGCATCTCCCGGTGTTGCTTATCTAAAAGTTGTTGGTCTCTTTAGATTCTAGAATCCTACAACCCAGCGTCCGAATCTTGTATATGATTAGCATAAAAAGTTGAAGATGAATCTGTTCAACTAATTGCTCTCTTTTTTTCTTCGTCCTCTTTTCTTCTTGTTTTATCCAGTATACACGTCCTCATTCCATTCACCAAACCATAAAGTAAAAACTCATGTATTTAACATCTCCAACCTTCTCTTTTGCATTTTCTTTTTCTGGTTTCACTTTAACAGAGAAGGCAAACAAAAAAAAAAAAAGGAAAAAAAACAAAAGATCTTCAATACCTTTTTCTTTTCAGACAAAAAAAGAGAAGTGAAATTTATGAACACCCTCCCTCAAAAACACAACATACCCGTGATAACATTAACAATGTCTTTAGCGACAGACACTTTGGGTGCGTTTGGAATTATTTTCAAAACGTTTTTATTTTTTGTATGAAAATGAAAACAAAAACGTTTTTATTTTTATTTTGAAATCATTTTTAAAAATGTGTTTGGTAGTTTTATTCAGAGATTGATTTCAGTTTTAAAAAAAACTGAAACTGCGTTTGGTGGTTTAAGTTTTGAAAATATGTAATAATATATTAAATAAATATTATTATTAAATATATTAAATAAATATTATTATTAATATATATTAAATGAA